CGTCGCTGGTGGCCCCGCGCCGGCCGGCCGGTGCAGCCGGCTCGCCCACCCCCGTAGTGTGGCCAAGGCACCCAGCCGACGGGGCCCTTCCCCCGGAAGCTTAGGTTCCCTCGGCCTTTCTACTCGTGATGAGCGGTGGAAACGCCAACGCCAGAATCACTCTCAGAGTTGTCCGCTGACCAGGTCGCGTTGTGGTGGCGCAGAGCCAGCTCTGGTGCCTGGCTGAGGGGCCTGCTTCAGCTACCGACGAGCTAACTGTAGCTGCCTTTTAGGTGCTTCTGGTCTGAGTGGACGCGTGCATGTTACTGCGGAACACGCCTTGACGCGTCCTTGAGTTACAAAAGCCTGACGGTGGTGGTTCCGAACACAGTCATGGCTGGCCGCACACAGCCCCAAGCTGAATGTGTCCTCGGTGAAGCCTGGGTTAGGAGACCACTGGGCGCAGCTGTATGCAGCTTAGGGTGGTGACTTGAGGTTTTTGCGTTTTCCCTCCTGCACCACATTCTCTGAGGTTATGTTGGTGGAGTCTTTTTTTTTTTTTTTGTCGGTCCTGGGGCTTGAACTCAGGGCCTAGGCACTGTCCCTGAGCTCTTTTGCTCAAGGCTAGTGCTCAACCACTTTGAACTCTCTGCTTCTGGTTTTGGGATGGTTAATTGGATTTTCCTGCCTGGGCTGGCTTTGAACCGTGATACTCAGGTAATCAGCCTCCTGAGTAGCTAGGATTACAGGCGTTAGTCACCATCAGTTGGCCTGGTGGAATCTTCTTGAGGAATTGGCTACCCAGTGCTGTTTGAGGGCTTCTGGTCCTATGCCAATGTTGTAAAACTTCCTCCAGGAGTGGCTCAGAGGTCCAGCAGGTATGGCAGTTCAGCCACAGAAGTGCCTGCTGCGAAAGTGGAAGATGACTCCTTTCTCCAGTGGTTTCTGCTTCTCATTCCCGCCACTGCCTTTGGCCTGGGAACTTGGCAGGTAAAGTCTGGCATCCAACTTGGGCTTCTTTGAGCTGTTTTCCCTGCTACCATTTGCTGGGCTCATTCTCTTGTTTCTGTAGGTCCAGCGTCTGAAGTGGAAGCTGAAACTGATTGAAGAATTAGAGGCGAGAGTCATGGCAGAACCCATCCCTCTCCCAGCAGAGTGAGTATGGGCACACGTTAATATTTGAACCTTTGCTTCTGCCTGCTCTGATGTGTCTCAGTCATCCTTATCAGTTGTTCTTTGCTGTTGACAACTTGTTGCCTCAGGCCACCAGATGGATGCAGAAATGTCTTATTTTTGATGCTGGTTTTCACTGCTTTTCAGGTCTAGAGGGATCTTCCACAGTGCTGACACCACTCTATAGCACTGTAGGGATAATTCTTAGTCCTTAGGTGAAGACAGATAACGTGGGTCTTCACGAGATCTGTATTTTGAAATAGTGCCTGGAATGCAAAAGGCTGTGTTCTGGAAAGACAATTCACAGAGGTGAATTCTGGGCAAATAACAGTGTGCTTTTATGTGTCTTACATGAGATATTCATGTAAGAATCCACACTTAGCTTCTCTCAAAAAGCTGGACAGGGCATTGTTTCCCCACGACATCTAAGTCCTGCAGCTGAGGATACAGACTGCTGTCACACTCCGCACAGCCTTCACTTTTCTACATTATTTTTCTGGGCCTCCTTTGGCTACAGCTCATCTACCCTTTCCTTGTAGCCCGCTGGAACTGAAAAGCCTGGAGTATAGGCCAGTGAGAGTCAGGGGACACTTTGACCACTCCAGGGAGTTGTACATGATGCCACGAACCATGATGGACCCTGCTCGTGAGGCTCAAGAGGCTGGCCGACTCTCCTCCTCAACAGAAAGTGGGGCCTATGTTGTTACTCCCTTCCACTGCACAGATCTGGGGTGAGTGAACTGTGCGGGGCTCTGGCTGGCCTGGCAGGGGTACTCAGGGCATACTGATTTTTATGTCCTTCCCAATGCTTAGCCTTGCTAAGATCCTGAGGAATCCAAGATATCCAAAGGGCATTAGGCAACCTCTTCTGACATTAGGTAACCTTCTTAACGATTCTTTTACCACTTAATAGAGGTTCTTCTGTATGTTAATCTCCGGATGGAAAGAGGGTTTACTTAGGCCCCTCTTTTGGAGAATCTTCTGATCGCCACATTAGACCCCTGTGATGCAGCATGAGGCCAGCAGGAGTGTCTCAGCAGAACCCCCCCGCTGCCTAGAGGGAATCTGGAACTAAGAAATGGAGTGGGAAGGTGGCTTAGCGGTAGAGCGCTTGCTAGCATGCAGGAGGCCCTGGGTTCAATTCCTCAGCACCAACCACATAAGCAGAAAAAGCCAGAAATGCCCCAGTGGCTCAAATGGTAAGAGTGCTAGCCTTAAGCTTAAGAGCTGAGGGACAGTGCCCAGGGGGGGCGAGGGGGAGTTGAACAAGCCTGGTGCCAGTGGCTCATGCCTATAATCCTAGCTACTCAGGAGGCCGAGAGCTGAGCATTGTAGTTCAAAGCCAGCCTGGGCAGGAAAGTCCATGAGACTCTTGTCTCCAATAAACCACCAGAAAACCAGAAATGACGCTGTGGCTCAAGTGGTAGAGCGCTACCCTTGAGCTGAAGAACTGAGGGTCAGGTCAGCACCCAAACAAAGTTCAAGCCCCATGACCAACCCCCCCCCAAAAAAAAAAGGTGTACAGGAAATGGAGGTGTGGTAAAGTACCCAGCTTCAAGCAGAAAAGCCTCCTAAGAGTTGAGGCCCAGAGTTCAAATGCCAGTATTGGCACAAAAAACAGATAGGAAGAGCATGGAAAAGTAAGGATCACCTGGGTGCTGTTAAGTCTTTGGATCTCAGGTGGGACCCAGATGCTGCTGGTTCTTGTATACTTCAGCTGCCTCAGTTGAAAGGGAGGTATAGCACACTGCTGTAGGCCAAGCACATGAAGGAAAGCAGCAAAGAAAGGGCTGTGTACTGTGTACCAGCAACTTTGGAAGCCTAGTTGGTGAAGGGTAGTAGTTGGCAGGGGGCTTTGCCAGCATCACACTCCCTAGGGGCTGGGGAGATACAGCCTAGTAGTGAAATACAAATACTCAGCTCTGGATTGGGGTTTTCTGGCTAGTCCTGGGGCTTGAACTCAGGGCACTATTCCTGAGCTATTTTGTTCAATGTTAGTGCCCCACCACTTGAGCCACATTCCCAGCCAAAAACCCTGGACTATTTTAACAATACAAAATTAAATAGACCAAGCCTTTGCTTGATTCACTGTAGGGACTTATGGTCGTTAGCATTAATTAAACCATTCCCCACCTGACCTGCCATTCTGGTCACTCTAGAGTCACCATCCTGGTAAACAGAGGGTTTGTCCCCATGAAGAAAGTAAATCCAGAGACCCGCCAGAAAGGCCAGGTAAAGGACAATGGGGACATGGTCTTTCCTGCTTGAGAGTGGGGCTCCTGTAAAAAGCAGTTTCATGCCTTTCTTTGTAGATTGCAGGAGAAGTAGACCTAGTTGGCATAGTAAGGCTAACAGAAACCAGGAAGCCCTTCGTTCCTGAGAACAATCCAGAAAAGAACCACTGGCATTATCGGGACCTGGAAGCTATGGCCAAGATAACAGGCGCAGAACCAGTGTTCATTGATGCCAACTTCCGTACGTTGTTATCAGCCCACCCCGGAAGAGAAAGCTGCTATTGTAGATACCCTGCTCTACCTCCCTGGCCAAGTGGTTCTTGATTCCACCCTAGCATGTAGTGCTGGGAGACACTGGCAAGTTCTGAGTAAAAAAGGGATGATGGGTGGTGGGTTACAAGCAGCAAAGGTCCTACTAGGATGGAAATGGACACTGAGCCCACTGTTTCTGCAGAGAGCACAGTCCCTGGAGGCCCTGTTGGAGGACAGACCAGGGTGACTCTGCGAAATGAGCACATGCAGTACATCCTTACCTGGTAAGCCTCAGCCACCCCCCTTCTCAACACCACCTAGCTCCATGCTTACCAGCCTGATTTCTTTCAACCAAAGGTACGGACTATGTGCAGCTACATCATACCTGTGGGCCAAGAAGTTCCTACGTCGGACTCCTGGCAGATGAGGTGGATACAAGCCTATCCCAAGTAATCTTAACTGTGTGATCAGTTGTCTTAAAAGCCTTTTTTATTCCATTCACCATTGGTATAAATAAAACTTCCCATGCACTGGCTTGGTGACTCAAACATATTCCTGACCAGTAAGAAGATAGAGGTTTGAAGAGGAAGGGGTCATAGCCCAGGAAGACCTGGGTATGTAAGCTGAGTGGACCCCCGCAGACAAAATGACAAATGCCCTTTATGGAAAGGTACGTGAGCTCTTATGACTTTAACTCAGAATGGCCACACACTGGAGGAAGGACAGTTTTATTATTTTCATGTACAGAGAAATTAACATTGCACACTTAGCCCAGCTTCGTGGCCAGCTCCTTAGCCTTTGCCTTTTCCAGCTTAGCAATTCGAGCCACAGATTTTGGACCCAGGACATTGCCTCCCCAGTGACGGCGGATCTGAAATGAGAAGAGACAGTCAGCTTGGCCTGTCTCCTGATACGCCAAATAGACCTCTTCAGAGCCCCTTAGAAAAAGCTTGATCTACAAAGCTCCTTACCTCATCATATCTGTCATTGTAATTGGTCCTGATAGCCTCCACCAGCTTCGCCAGAGATCCCTTGTCTTCCCTTAAAAAAGAGGGGGCGGATATGGAGGTTCAGCATGTTGCTTGAGAAAGCAGAAACAACTTCACTTTGTAGCTAGTAGGCTTTTTATTTGCCTCAGATATAGTATGGCCACATGGTTTATTCAGGTGAAGAAATTCTTAACCATCATTGGCAAAGGTTCCTCAAGTGGGTGTGAAGGTCCAAGGCATGAACTGAATGGACTGAGGGAATCTGGGGCCAGTCTACCTACTACTTACGAGTTAACCTGAGTGAAGGCAACGGTGGTGCATGTTTTCCTGTGGACGAGGCGCCCCAGCCTGGCCTTCCCCTTAATGATGCAGTAGGGAACACCCATCTTGCGGCACAGGGCAGGCAGGAATACAACCAGCTGGAAGAAAGCATTAGCTGCTGAAGTGTCTGTCCTCACCCACAACAGCATCTCATGGGCCAGCTTGCTGGCAATTGCTCAGGGTTAAAAAGCTCACTGATTTTGGCACATCAAGATTTAGTTCAGTCAGAGGTTCACATCATAGCAAGAGCCACACAAATTGGATCCCTAGTTAATGCTGTTCTCAAACGTGCCAGACCCAGCACCAAACTCCTTTCAGTCCCAGAGAGCCCTGCCATCAAAGTTGAAGAACATGCAGACCCACCTCGATGGGGTCCACATCATGCGCAATCACCACGAGCTGGGCCTTCTTGTTCTCCACCAAGGTAGTAACAGTGTTAACCCCTGGAACACAACCACACTCAGTGCTCAGGCAGCTTGGAAACAGCAAGCCGCCACGCACAGCTGTGACTCAGTGTTAAAAAGCTCGAATTTCACTCTCCACGAGGACCTCAGGTGAAGAAATTCATACATCATCGCACAGCCTCCACCACTCACCCCACAGGGAGGGCACCACCGACCTGCTCGAAGGACTGGAGGTCTCTTAGTGGGGACATCTCCTTTGCCAGCAGCTTTCTTCTCAGCTCGGGCCAACAGTCTCTGCTTCTTCTCCTGTTTTGTCTCTGGCCTGTACTTGTGGGCCAGCTTAAGTAGCTGTGTAGCTGTGTGTAAACATTCTACAGTTAGGCTCCTCGGGAGGGGGTAGGGCTTGAGACATGGTCCCACCTGGACTCAGGTATATTCATGTCAAACCCACCTATGGTTTAAATGGCTACTCTATGATAATTAAACACTAGGGGCCAGGAAAGTGATAGACTGCTTGCCTAGCATGCATGAAGCCTTGGGCTCAATCCTCAGTATGTGAACAGAAAAGCCAAATAGAGCACTGTAGTTCAAGTGATAGTGTGCTAGCCTTGAACAAAAGCTCAGAGAGTGTCCAGGCCAAGTTTAAACCTCAGGACTGGCAAAAATAAAAAAAAAAACATCCATCCTGCTCTATTACAAGAATGGCAGCTATCAATCAAACCAAGGCTGCTGGGTACTAGTGACTCACATGTAATCCTACCTACTCATGAAGAGACTGAGGACTGTGGCTCAAATGGTAGAAATGCATACCACTTTTTTTTTGTCCATTATGTGGCTTGAACTCTGGGCCTGGGCACTGTACCTAACCTCTTCAGCTCAAGGCTAGCAGTCTACCACTTGAGCCACAGCATCACTTCCAGTTTTCTGAGAGTTTACTGGAAATAAAAGAGTCTCACGGCTTTTCCTGCCCGGGCCGGCTTTGAACCATGATCTTCAGATCTCAGCCTCCTGAGTAACTAGGATTACAGGGGTGAGCCACCAGCGCCCAGTTACATCACCTTTTCAAATCAGGCCAGACTCATTTCACTGAAGACTAGGCTTGGTACCCACCAAGAACCTCACCTGTCTGGCGATCCAAGGCTTGGGTAAACTGGTTAATTGCAGGAGGCACTTTCAGCCGCTTGTAGAGGATCGCCCTTTGCCGCTGCAGCCGGATGTAGCGGGGCCATTTGACAAAACGGGTGAGGTCCCTTTTGGGCTGGATGTCCTGTCCTGAGAAGAGAACTCCGTGAGTGGGGCCCAATGTCAAGTCACGTTTCTTAAAGGCACTCAGAGGGTGTTGGTGCATCAGCGATCTTGGTGGTTTGAAGTGTCATCACTATCTTTCCGATAGCAAATATCCTTTTACATCATCTGCACACAACAACACCAGCGAGCAAGGGAGACAGCAGTCCTTTCCCTCTTAACAGGAGATCATGCTGGCTCCCACAGCGCCCCCCCCATGAGCCCCAACAGACAAGACGACACCTGGCAGAGTTCCGCTGCCGCCAGAAGCGAGTCCGCTCTCCAGGAATCCCAGCACGTCAGGACACAAGCTGCTAAAACCCACCTTCACCCGTCCCTTTGCTACTCACCAATGCCAAAGTTCTTGGGCCTTTTTTCAAACAGCGGATTTACCACCTTCTTGGCCTCCTGCTTCTTCACGACAGCAGGGGCCGGGGCCACCTTCTTCCCCTTGGCCTTCTTTCCTTTCGGCTGGGCAGAAAAGAGAACCAGTTACACGTCGCCCTTCCCACGCGTTCCCCTTCAAGGGCAGCGCGAAGAGGTGTTCGGCCGGTGCGGCTCGCGGGCGCTGGGGCCGCTCCCGCGCAGACCCCAGCCGAGGCCGGCTCCGGTCCCGGGCGCGGGGCCTCGCCCGGCCCACCCGAGTCCCGCACTGCGGCACCGAGCGCCGACCCCTCCCGCACGGAGGCGCAAGGAGCGAGGGCTCCCGCGCCGCCGCCTCCAGGGCCAGGCCCCGCGGGGCGCTCCCGGCGCGGGGTGTCGCCGAGGACCCCGCAAGAGCTCCTCCGAAGGAGGATGTCAACGGATGCGGCCCCAACGCGGCCCCGGCACCGTCAGACGCCACTTACCATCTTGGGTGGCTGGAGAGAGAAAGGGAAGGGAATTGTGGGTAATTTGTAACCCCCTCGGCGATCGCGAGAGCTGGCGCCGGCGCGGGATTTCGGATTTAAAGCGACAGGACGATTACGTGCCGGGCTTGGGGCGGCGCCTGGCGGCGGGGAGCCGCCTCCAGGACGCGGGCCTCCCGGCGGATCCGCGGAGCAGTGCGGGTAAGCGCGGGCCCGGGGCGTCCCGGCTCCCCGGTAGCGGGGGGATACGCTCTTTCGCTAGCCCCTGCGTCTGGTCCGAGCCCGGCCGCCCGGGAGCGCGGGGCTGAGACTGGGACTAGCCGGGCCGCGTCGAGTTCGGGGGCCTTGGGGACGCGCGGTCGGACCCGAGGCCAAGGCACCGCCTGAGGAGCTCGGCCCCGGCTCCCCGTACCCGGGGTG